CCCCTGACCCTACCTGGCTACGCCCATGTATACAATCGAATATACATATGTACATAACCAGGTATACATATGTAAGTATGTACATTAGACCGTCCAAAGTCAAAGTTTTTTTTTACGCATACCCCCTCATTTTATTGGATTTGTCTTAAAAACTATCCGAATCAAATTTTTAGCAATTCGGAAAGTTATCAGAATAAGATTTCATTTTACTTCTGTATAAGACGGTATTACTATATTCCCTGCAGTATTACGGCATAATATTTAGTAAATCTGCGTGTTTTGGTTTTTTACCAGGTATTCAGGATTTTTTCCAATGAACCCTTAATTTGTATATATGTATTTCCAAAATTTTACGCAAAATATGGATATATGGGTATCAATTGAAAGAAAAACTCGAAAGAAGTTATATTTAATTAATTTTTGTTTTCAAACATCCTTTTGGAACATGACAAAAATGTCCTTTAAAAATATTATCCTTCAAGATTTTGAATTTTGAGTACATTCTGAAGAATCTTAGTTTAATTTAAATGATATGGATATATATGTATAGGGATAGTAAAGGATACAAATTTCAAAAGATATTAAAAAAAATTAAATTCTGCCGTCCTTTTAAAATTTAAAGGTGCAGATTTACTAGAAATGCGTTCAAATATGGAAAACATATAGAATTTTTCATAGTTTTCATGAACAATTTGGAAGCCTTAATTCAAGTTATTAACTAAAACTTCAACTAAAAGTCTGCACGGGGTATCATTATCTTACGGTCAAACTTAAATATATGTACATATGTATGTATCTTATTTAGGATAAAAAACACAAATATAGAGGGTATTCATATAAAAATTTGCAAACAATTTGTTTTCGAAATATTCTTGGGACAGTCTAATGTACATACATATTATATGTCAGCGATATTAAACTATTTACTTATGTACTTATATACAGATATGTACTTAAATTCTAACCAAATATATTATCGTATATTTTGTAGCAGATCCCAGTTTTTTTAAACATTTCATTTGTCCGTTCTTCTGTTTTGAATAGCTGATACTCTTTCAAAGTAGCAGGGTCCAATGGCCCCCAATCGGCTTCGGGCTTAAAGCTCTCCTTTATCCGCTCGCACATTGTCCCACTGGTTCGGTAGCAAACTTCGCCTATAGCCCAAACAAGTAGTTGACCACAGCCGAAACCTGAGACGCACCAACCAAAAACTGAAAAAAATTTAATATATATTTTTACAAATTACAGACAAAGAGTTTCCGCTGTTTATACTGTATAATCCATCCTGATAGGTATAGCCATTGTATTGTAAGGGCGTATAGTTCACCAGCGTATAGATCAGAACTGCAGCCATGAAGGCGGGTGTAATTAATCCCCAGCAAATCCGATAATAGAGAGAAGTTTTTATACCCAACATGAAGTAAACGTCATGACACAGGGTTTTTACGCCTAAAATTGAATGAACATAGGGTCAGAATTAGTCAGTTTACTATCTTTACATGAACACACCATATATCCAGCCAACAGCGATCAGTTCGAATATCGCCAATACTAAAGCTACGAATGACGCCCCGTAGAAGTCCATAAAGTTCAATAGATATTGACCACCTGGAGTTATATATATAAGGCCGATTCCATAACATACAACAGCGATGCCCACAGCAATAATCCATTGTTTTGTGTTGGTGAATTGATCTTTTAATACGGTCATAACGCACGAAGCCATGCCCACATTGCTTCCGATACCCAGTACAAACAACATCAAAAAGAAGAGCACGGAAAATACCTGAACGTTTACACACAATTTACACAACATTCGAATTACAAAGTCAAAGCAACGTCTGAAGAATTCTCACTTGTGGTAGAAACTCAAATTTAGATATGGCGTCTGGATACGAGATGAACGCGAGTCCCGTGTTACTCTTTACAACATTTTGTATATCAGAGGTATTTGATTCGTGAGCTAAGTTTCCGAGGATGCCGAAAATGATTACACCAGAGAGAAGCGAAGTGAACGTGTCTAAGGTGGTGACAATTGTGCAGTCCCTACACAAAAAATATTAAAAATAAAAAAATATGTATTTCTGCAAAAGGTTTGTACAGTTCATATGGTATTGATATTACCTTTTTATGTTGTGCCGGAATCGGTTGTACGAGGCGTACATGATTATGTTTCCAAAACAAATGGCAAGCGAAAAAAATACTTGAGTAACAGCTGCATACCATACCTATCAAAAGAACGGAAGTAATTAAAATTTTAATATGTAATACTTGTTAGTCTGAAGAGCATACCTTTGGGTCTAGAAGTTTATCCCACTGAGGTTTCAGAAAATACAAAACACCATTGAGAGCGCCTGGCAGTGTCAATGAACGTATGAGTAGGATAAACATAACCACATAGGGAAAAAGTGCAAGGACATATGATGCCTTGCCCGAGCTCTTAATGCCTTTAAGAAGTATGGAGACTATCACGAGCCAAGAAACAGCTAGTGTCAGGGCTAACGACCAACTTGGGTAACCTATTCCATCATGTATGGAGTCCCTTTCTCGCAAAATTACTTTTCTAAAGTTGGAGATTTTCAAAATAAAGCGGTTGTAAAATTCCTACTTGAATACATACGTGAAATAAAATTCCGCCGATGTGCTTTTCACTTTAGTTTCATTTGTGAAAACGTTTGTTTTATTGAGCTTCGAATCGATACAGGCGTCGCCCCACTCTTCGCGACAATAACTCCAGGGCAGCGTCGGATAACACGACTCTATCAAATAACGAAGAGTAAGAGCCATCAAAGTGGCATAGTACGTGGACACAATAGCCGTACCGAACACTTGTCCATATCCAACTCCTAAAATGTTGTAAGTAGATTGTTAAAGCAGTTGTTGGGTGGAATATTTCAAGGAAAAAGCAATTAAGTATTATTGCCCAAACTGACATGTTCATACATACATATTAGGGTGGTCCAAAATTACTCAGGGAAATCCACTTTTTGGAATTTCCCTGCTGCCACCTCCAGAAATATAGAAAATGGACAAAAAGGAAATCATATTTTTTCTTTTGGAATCGGTTAGAATTTAATGGTGGTGACACTGATATTGTGGCGTATTAATATTTTTTTT